CCCATTCCCCAACCCCTTCTCCCCAGTCCCCAGGGCAGGAGATTTCATATCGTTAACATTACTCAGTGCTTTAGCAACAACTTACCCACTACAACAGTGTATCGTTTGGGATCAGGCGCCATGATGATGCAATGGGTAGCTGTGATTACCCAATCAGGTCTGATCAGCGTTCCACCACAGGTAAAGCCCCCATTTTCCTGAAGTAAAACTTGCCAGGGCCAAGAATGAGGAACAGCATCATGGCCCTGAACAATTCGCGCGTCAGCAGGACGAAGTCCACAAGAAAGCCCTAATGGAAAAGCCGTCATATTTTAGTAAAAATAGTGATATTTTAAGTATCGTTAAGGAAAAAATAAGCTAGAACATTGATGCTGATCGTGAAGTCTTGCTTACAGCATATTAATTCAAATGGCAAAACGTATTTGTCTATGCAACGTTATCATAAAGTGTATAATATTACAATTGTTTGTTAGTTTTTACCTTGAGAAGCCAAAGGCAGGCAGCATAAAACAGCAATAAACACAGAAACAAGTCTCATATTTCCTCCTTGTTCCCTTTTAGAGAAGATATGTTTCGATGATATGTTAGTAAACCCCTACATGACTCTTTATCGTGGATTTTCTATTAAAAGTCAAATAAAGTTTGATACTTTACATAAAGCTGTGTCGATAGAGCAATCCTGTGCTTATACAGATGCGTAGACATGAATGTGTTTGGCCTACAAGCAACCTAAATGTAAAGTATAAACAAAATGGTACGGAGTCTGAATAAATACCAAAAATGTTTGTTTTGTATGAAAACAACACTGAATTCTGCCTRGGATACAAAGAAATCACGTGCATGTTTGAAACCCGCTTAAGGTGGCTCCATTTAGCTTTTTGTACGCGCGCATGCAAAGTTGTGCACGTGCATGCGCAGAACCCAACTTGAAGATTTTTGGATGACGTCACGAAAATATCGTTCGCATGCGTTATCTTTTTACTGAAATAACTCAAAATCTAGAGGATGAAATATCTTCAAAGTTCTATATTCTTTTTATCATATAAAAGTTTAAAAAGTTTCAAAATATTTCAAAGCATTATTATTATTATTATTATTATTATATTATTAATATTATTATTATCATCATCATTATCATTATTATTACTATTACTATTATTTTTATTTTCATCAATAATGATCACCTCGGTTTCCATTGTTTTGGAGGGACGTTTAATCACTAACATCCTTTCCCTCCCCTCCCCTTCCCTCCCCTCCCCTTCACTAAATAATACAACTTTATTTCGCTTTTTACAACTTTATTTCGCTTTATTTATAAATTTGACTGATTCTTTCACGGGCAAAGTAAAATCACTCTAATACATATATATGTATCACCAAATGTAGATGACATTAGCTTTGTTCATTTTCAGTACATAGATCATCAATCATTAAATATCGTATCTTGAGGCTTAAAATGCATAATGCGCAATTTATTTTTTTTCTTTCTTGAACACAATTTASTTAGGACTACAAAAAAGGACCTACAAATCCCCCTAACTAAAGAAATGCTAATAATGCAGCGCTTCAGTTCTCAAACAAGCTTTATTTTACTTTGAAATGCCCAAATGGAATCATTGCTTTTTTGACTTAAATATGGGGAGCCTGAGAATTATTGTGTGATGAACCATAGACAGCACCACAGAACAGTGGGGTATAGTTTTCATGCGGTTGCTCAACTGATTCTCAATATATCATAAGATTTATCAGTTGTGTCTTGATTTTTATTCTCATTAAGAAATAACAATACGATTTCGAACTCTTCAAATTCTTATTTTATTGATCATTCATTACAAATAACAATAAAAAAAACATAATCAAGAATTGCATTAGAGGTGCATTGACAAGTCAAAGTCAAAAGAGTAGCCCTCATCCATCTTCTTTGTTAACCTGTAGGATTTTTTTCACCAAAGAAAAAAAACGCAATAAATTCGTTTATTAAATAATAAATCGACTATGCAATATGATCTGTATAGGTTTGGTGATCAAGACAAGCCGGTTTTTATAATATACCTCTTTAGCTTGGGCGCTGGCAATGTTTTCCCATCATTTGGAGCACGTGTTATTATTTTGAGAATAAGATTCTTTGATTGAAGAAGCTGCCCAAGCTAAAGTCTGTTATAACTAATAATCCAAATTTTCGTCAACTCGTTTAGTGAATTTAAACTTAGATCATTTTTCTTTCAATCATTTCTGGGTCATATGGTCAAGATTCTTTTTTTGTTTTCAAAACGTCAAAAGAGGCCATTCAAACAAGCTATCGTTAGTCTACCTAGTAGGATACTTACACAATCCACACGTTTTTTGACATAAAATCTTTATAACGTGGAAATTGCATCTGTTTTCCATTCCAGTACATCCTGACCCCTTATTTCTACAACCTTCAATATGAAAACAAAGACAACAAACACATCTCGTTAATCTTGAGTGCTGATTATGGTTAAAAATCTAGCAATGCATTAAAAAAAAAMAACTATTCGGATAGTAAGATGTTATCAAATATCAATTATCAAAGCTGCAGAACACCTAATTAAGTGTACAAAATATATCATATTTGGGAAATGATGTTATATGCGCCCAGTGAGTTCTCGGAAAGTTTTCGTGACCATCCAGTGACCAAAATCAGAATGCATGCTAAGGTCAAATTAGTTAAGACTCTTCAAATAGCTTTTGCCAACTTAAAAGTTGAATATATAATTATATGTGAGAAATAATACTAGCGGTGTCGTATGCGCGCACCAGTGAGTTCTCGGAAAGTTTTCGTGACCATCCAATGACCGATGTCAAGATGCTAAGGTCATGGTAGTTAAGACTCTTCAATTAGCTTTTGCGAAATTAAAAAGTTAACATCCTTCACGCTTCTGCGAAAGTTGCAACATAACGAAGTATTTTCTTACCAGGGAATGGTGTCGTAGTTCCTGAAGGAGCTGTTGATGTTGACTGTGTTGGGAGTTGTGTTGGCTTTTTTGTTATTGGTGTTTTAGTTGACTGGCTTGGTTTAGTGGATGGCTTGACAGGTTTATTCGTTACAGGTGCATTAGTTGGAATGACTCCAGACGTTGGCATGGGACCTAAAACAAATTATGATAATATTTTGTTATAAGCAATGTTATAAGTTCATGCCCTAATTGCCTACACTTGTTCAATATATACCTCCTATTCTCTTGTAGATCCATCCCAAGTATTTATTAACTCTCGTGTAAACTGTGTAGTATTTTATACTACATGATCTTCCAAAACTTGTAGCACCATGGACATACCACCTTCCTTCTTTTTCGCATACAAGAGGCCCACCACTGTCACCCTGGCAAGTGCTTGAAGTATTGGCAGCACTACCAGCACACAAATGAGTGGAAAATTTGATAAAATCAGTTCCATATTGTCTCTTGCATTCCCTATCAGAGGCGATCTCAAATTTGGCTTGTTTGAGTGTTTTTGAGCCCCAGCCATTAGCAGATATACGACCCCAACCTAACAAGAGATGGAATACGTAAATAACGTAAATGGACTAAACACGGTTCCCCATTTCACACCACGCGCCATTCAAGTTGCATGGCTGAAGTGCTGTAGCCGTACAGCTGCTGTACGTAACTACGTACTGTGCATAAGTTTAAAGGTTGATTTCCATTAATACAATCAGAATCCATGTAGTGTATTTCCCCCACTCCTTTAAAACCGTTTTGTTGCAAGCTGATATCGATGGATCAAATCGGTCAAGAAAATTACAGCTCCGTCAGTAATCGGCATCTATGGCACCGAAAAAAGAAGTTTATAGTGAAAAGAAGTTAACATTCAATAATACCAGAGGTGTAGCAATTTGCTCCAACATTTGGATCCGATTTAGGAAGGCATGCTGGAAGAACTTTGTCACTTAAAACAGCCGGATGTTCAAGGTGTAACAAGGCAATATCGTCTTTATAATTTGCCATTGAAAATCCAAGATGCCGGTGGACCTTTTTGACCCTAATATTTTGCTGTACACTTGTTTCTCCACCTTTTCGGAAGTGTGAACCTGAAAAAGCAGTGATTTGCATGTTTTCATATCGTTATAACTGAATTAGTGTTATAAACTACACGAGCCAGGGGGAATGGGAATGGAGTGGTGATGCTGCTTCCCGCTTCCTGTCCTATAATGCCTCAAAATCTAACAAATTAGAGTTGGCGTATACTATGAAAACGCCCCAAAACCAATCAAACATCCTAGTTTCCTTGTCCCTCATTATGAAAAATAAAACATTATACTCTCAAATTCTTAATTTCTCATTATCCAAGACTTTGATCTAAAATACTCTTTAAGGTACTGCTGTGCACCTGCCGTGTCTAAACGGTGAGTAAACGGTCTTACGTTTCTGTCAAGGGACCTTTAAAGATGGACAATTAGCTTGAAAACTTAACACAATTATGCCGTCAACAAAACAATTTTTGGTATGACGTAGCTTGAAAGCAAAGCGTACCTACTATCACTGTATATTTTTCAGGTCGCATAACACAATGTGCTGCGGTTAGCACCCAGTCTGGTCGAATAAGAGTTCCGCCACATGTGTGATAGTTCGTTCTTCCTTTCCGTAGAGACACTTGCCAGGGCCAGGAGTGAGGAATAGCCTCTTCTCCGCCAACTATGCGGCCACCACTTGGACGTATCCCACATGATAAACCTGTACACACGAGAAGGAAGACTTTTYAAATATCCCTTTTTTCATAATTGGTCATTGAGTTAAACAAATTTCATTATTGCCTATGAAATAAAACCTTTTCTCGGGCTTTCAGACTTTCTGAGAATAACTATATATTTATTTCCTGCTCCTTTGGAATTTATGGATCAGCGCCTGTTATCACTAAGTAAAGATATTACCGTAGCAGCAAAGGGAAGGATATGGAGTCTTTAAGCCGAAAAGCATTTTGCCTCAAAGTAAAAGGGTCTATGAATAGACAGAGTCGGCTAAAACATTTTCAGAACGGCATGGATTTAGGATAATATATCATTTTAAGGCAATAGAATCTTTCATTTATCTGTATTCATTTAGCGCTAGCAAAGAAAATATAAGATGGCAAACAAAGAAGAGGTTTCTCGTGTTGGAGAAATAGAAAACGCGTGCGCGTGCTGTGTGTAGTTATAAAGCACGCGGGAATTGGCAAAGCACAAGAGAAGTGTCAGGACAAGCACTACGCGTAGCTTATTGCTTCTCGACACTTCTCAAGTGTTCTACCATTTACCAAGTGCTTTATAACTCCAATTRCACAGCAAGCAAGTTTTTTTAATTTCTTTTATAAAATGCAAAGGGCTCGTGCGTGTGTGTGCTCTAATAAAGCACGCGCTCCCAACCAATCAGAATGCGAGATTTATAACAGCTATTTTATAATGAGCTTTATAGTTAAAGAGAACCGCACTATAGATATGTAACTTACTTGCATGTGATGGCAAAATAAAGAGAGAAGCAGTCAATGTTTTTAACAGGAGAATGATCATCATGTTCGTCCTTTTCGAGTACGATAGCAAATGCTATCAAAAGCTGGCTTTGTTTTTACATAGGGTATTTTTTACCAGCTGCACAGCTGACGTAACTGGGGGATATCTGCATGTTGCAAAATTTAGCGTGTTTTTTTTTCAATAGTTTTGGAAAACACAACGCGTTTTTTATTTTTAACAAATATTATAACTTGTAGTTGAAGGAAACTTTAACCTGACCATCACTTCGTGTGTAACCTATTCATTCAAAAACCTCATTAATAATTCATGAAGGAAACACAATAGAAATCATGACCATGAAGGAGGTTTTATATCTGATATAGATTCGTCTTCATTTGCATAAACTTTAACTTGGATTTTCTCTATCAAACTTGGTTCATTTCGTAAAGAATTCAGTACAATATGAGAAGATACATCATCAGCTTTTTAAGCCATTCAATAAACTTACAGATCGTGTTTTATCAGATTTAAAAACACAAGGCGTGTGCTAGTTTATTAAACAGTACTTCTCGAATTTTCGGACTTAAACTTTGTTAAAGAAAGAGGCAAAATAGGATCAACGACTACGATTAAGCGTTTTCTGATCCGCGATGCAATTATGTTTGTTATACTTTACAAATTGATACATAATAAGGGCCTTCTTACAAGCAGGGAGATATGGTAAGCCTAGAACTAAGGTTACCCGCAAAGCAGGGTCAATAGATAACTCGGCTTTTCAAGGAAGAAATATTTAGTTGTAGGGCCGAGTAGTACGGTAACAAACAAAATGTTTAAAACTTTGAATCAGTTTAAAATGTATCTTACTGTTTAATATTGCGATTCAGCAAGCATTAGTTTAGTATTTTGTGATACTGAATGGCTCAGCTATTCGCTAAAAAAAGGGTTTGAAACCCAATAATAACGTTTGGTTTCCCCAGCCACGCTAAACAATGAAAGAAACTTAACCCAGACGGAAGAGTTTCAAAATCGCTTGTAAAGGTGTTAAAATAAATAAAAGGAAACACGCAGAAGAGTAGCCCTTTTACTTAAAAAACTTCATTGTAGGGACGTGTTACACTATCCTCAAAAAGAAGCCCTAAATCTCTACTTGATACGGGAATACATTAGGATACCTAATTTATGGCTCAGTTGTTGAAACGATGTTGAGAAATATCTTATTTGCAAAGCTCAGTTGGTTGCTAAGTAGTTTAAAATCGAAATTTACCTCATAAAAGGAGGTATACTCGGGAAATCACCTGCACCTAACCGTGCGAAGATACCACCTCGATCTAACTTTTCAAATTTTGGAGCAAATTATTTGTAAAGATAATGTATATTTCAAGTTAAGAATACGAATATAGTCCTATCTTCTAGTTTATAGATGATAATGGCAGGTTATTTTCACCTGCAAATAAATCCCCTTTAAGAGAGACAGAGATAAAATAAACAATTTTTATTGATGCTTACATATTTTAAAGCTGCATTTCATAGTGTTTGGTATACTTTTATGTTATCTAAATACCACAGGAGGGAAATGCACTCCACGATTATCATGCAACCGCATCGACAACAACAGCAAAGATAAAAGAAACAAATGGGGAGTGACAGGGTGATTTTTTAACATCCTTATTAAATTACTTTAAAAAAGATTCGAAAAAAAATCAAAAAACAAAAACAAAAACAAAACAAAAACACTGAAAAAACAGAAAAAGAAAAAAAAAAAAGAAAACGTTGATGTCAGTATTTCCGACAGTTGGTGTTTGTTTTCTATAAATGTTAAAGCAACAGTTTATTCAAGTGTAAGGCTGCATGCACCCAAATCTTTTGTTATGGTTTTTCATTGACACAGGGTCAACACAGATGCTAAGGATATATGAATATAAGAACGACCCCTTAGGGGAAAATATTCTTGCTTTAAAATCTCTTATCAAAATGAGGGATTTGATAACAATTCTGACTCTTTTGCTCGGTGTATCATATACCAGCGCAGGTAATTGCAACAATAACTCTACTCGATAACTTTTAAGGTTAAGATTTACTAATTATGGAAGGTGTTTTGCTATAGGATGCGGTTCGCGTCCAGCAGGAATGCGCATAATTAATGGTCAGAATGCTGCCCCTCATGCTTGGCCATGGCAGATCTCTTTACGTAGAGGTGGAGGACATACTTGTGGCGGATCTCTCATTAGCCCCGAATGGGTAGTTACCGCTGCACACTGTATTCACAGGAACAAGAACCCAAGTGCCTATACAGTTGTTGCAGGTAAATAATAAACAGTTAGCTCAAAGTGATTTTTTGTATAATTTTTCGTTATAGTTTTTTATAGATTGAGTGTATTTCAATTAGGTGCTCACCGTAGGAGAGGGAGTACAAGTGTACAACAAACTGTTCGATTGACACAGATTATTGAACATCCAAGCTACGATAACCGTCGAATAGTGAACGACATCGCTTTGTTGAGGCTTGCCAAACCCATTCAAATGAGTGATAAGGTTGGTGCTGTATGCTTGACAAAGTCTCGGCCAGACCCAGGAAAAAGATGTTACATCACAGGTAAAACAGGCGATAAATTTAACATTATTGTTGGAAATATGGACGTACACTCACAAATAAAATCTGTTGTTATATTTTTTTCCGGATTTTGTCGATATAACCAACACTCTCACTGGTTGATAGATGCCCACGTAATATACTAAATGAGTGGAGGGCCGCACGGGAAAATATTTGATTCGAGGTCATGCCGGCCGTACGGACCGAGTGCAGCCAGGTCCGTACAAATGACCAAGAGCCAAATATTTTCCCCTCCGGCAGGGCCTAACTCAATCAATAAGCAAAGCATTTTATCATATGACTCAATTTTTGTTGCAAAAAAGGCTGAAAAATCCTACTAAGATTTATAAATAGAGCATGCGTGAACGACTAGGGCCGGACGGGTTTTTCCGGCCTGCTCACGTCAACCCGTTTCCGCAACCCCTATAACGTGGTATTTTCCAAAGATTTCATAAGAACACGCGAGCAGGACGTTACGGATTATACGATGACAGAAATTCATAGTATTTTAAGGTTACTTACCCGGGATTACGTGTTTTCTTTTTAGCGCCTCGTTATTTTCTAAATACTTTTTGAAGTTAGAATAGTATATCATTTTCTCCGCCAAACAGCTATTCACCTCATTGGCGCGGTTAAGTTTTGGGAACACGAGTTTTGCCGAGGCTGTGATTAAGCTGCTCGAGTGAACTGTTATAATGGAGAAACGTCGCCGAAGGGGAGGTGGATGGGGCCAAAAATCCGTCTAGCACTGACTGGTTTTGCGAACCTGAGCAAATGGGGTCGAAACCTTGGATTTTCTCTCTAAAAGTAGGCAACCACTGACCCGGGGGCATTCATAATGCTTATCACCTAGGAATCACTCTCAGAAAGTCATGGTAACATTCCGCGCGTACTCGTTTCATGGCTGCTTTAGGGGTGACAATAAAGGTTTCTACGTGGCTTCTCATGAAAAAGAAGGAATATCTTATGAACAAACCTTTAATTAAAAAACTGAAATACCCTTTTTAATGCAATTTAAAATCAACAGTCACTGATCTCCTGGCAGCCATTTTGTTTTGATATGGTCACGTGAAAAGCAGCCATTTTTCCAATATTTCTGGAGATTTTTGATCACGTGATCCAGCCAACACCAAGGTCTTCTCCGCGAAGACCGACATATTGAATTGGAGTCGGCCGAGAGGACCAGGGGACGAGGTTGATTGATTGTATCAAAGATTTAGGCACAGGTAGCCCAACCTTGGTTTCTGTGGTGTCCTGTTATGAGGAAATGTATGGAGATTCATCAAAAATTTCAATAAAATCATTGAAACGTGAAATAAAGCCTCGAAATTTTACCCGATCATTGAGAAATAGCACTTCTTTCGTTCTGCGTGGTTATTTTTTGAATTTAGCCCGTTTTAAGATTTTTTCCCCCACCAGTAAGAAAAAAGAGAAGGTTGGAAACTCGAGTCCCAAAAGCGAACCATCACGGGTCTTTGAAACCTCGTACGTCTTCGAATTTTCTTTCCAGTGCCAAATTTTAGTCATGACCCTTCTCTCACATACCTATAGAACCGAGAAAGTCGGATTAGAGATTAGCCTTCGCGTCTTTAAGCCATGAAATTTGCCTGTATTCACATACTACCTCGCTTGTTCTGACCCGTACTTGGAGCTCACTGTACACCAGTTCAACGAATTTCTTTCGGCAACCGACCCGAGGTCGGCACACCAATAGAGCATTTTTCCACTGGGAAACTGAATTCTTTCTCATGTAAATTAGATTAGATCAGATTCAATTGTTCCTGCCTCCTGTCATGGCGAATTAGATATATCTCGTACCAGTTCCTGTCATTGCAGCAAGTTTTGGGCTTTTTCTCCGAAACTAATAAGAATCTTTAAAAATTTTCTAAAAAAAGGATAGATCTTCCTTTAAGCAATAGTTTAAGGTATTTTTTCAAAACAATTGAACATTTGAAATAATTTTGTGTCCTATGTATCAATAAAGATTACGAAAATCACAGCATTTGAAAGATAACATTCATTTAGACTTTTCCATTTGTCACTTCTCGCTTGAGTGCACTGAGGGCATAAAAAATGTGGCCTGACAATAATCGTTTTTAATTTCAATCTCTTAGGAAAAATATTTTGAAAATTAATTATTTCAATGGTAAATTGATTGTAAAATTGTTTTTCCAAGTTCTAGTCAGTTCATAGTTTAAGAATCGTTTTCAGTGCGCATGCAATTTTATCCCGAATTTCTCAACTTCTTTTATATAAAACTTCTTATATAAAACCAAAGAAGGCGATAAATTCGGGACAAAATCGCATGCGCACTGAAAACGATTCTTAAACTATGAACTGGCTTATTACGATAGGCTTATTATCTCGTTGAAATTTGTCATAAACCATTTCCATTATCCAACTTTTAGGATGGGGAGCAACTCGAGGTGGTGGCTCAGCTCCCGACATTCTTCAACAAGCTGTTCTTCCCATCGCCTCTCATGACAATTGCAAACGAAAATACGGCAGTGTTAACTCTGTTTCCCATCTTTGTGCTGGGGAAGCTCGTGCAGGAGCATCTGGTGGATGTAATGGTGACAGCGGCGGACCATTGGTATGCGAGGACGGAGGGTCTTGGTTCCTGCACGGCGCTGTGAGCTTTGGGTTGAGGAACTGCCCAACAACACATTATACTGTGTTCGCACGAGTATCAAGTTTCGTGGACTGGATAGAGCAAAATTCAGGTAAGGAAATTAAATTGCAAAGTGAAAATTATCTCGTTAGTCGGTACTTATCAGATGGTTTTGTTTTACACATTAAAGGCATAGGAGCTGGAGGAGGAGGAGGACCATCACCTCCAACACCCCCTCCACCATCTGGACCACCACAGCCTCCTCCACCTCCAACTGAAGGACCATCACCACCGCCTCCACCAACCCAAGGACCACCTCCACCACCGACACAAGGACCGCCACCACCACCACCTGGAGGTACAGACTGCATTAATTTTAAAAATCAATATTCTTTTAAATTCTTATATCTTTATCTTATTAATACACATTTCACTCTTTCGTACAGACTGCAAGGATCAGTCACGTTATTGTTCCAAGTATGCTTACAAATGTAAAAGCAGTTCATACGTAAGAAGAAGATGCAAAAAGACATGCAATCTTTGTGAGTATAGAAATCGAGTTCATTCTACTTAACATTGCAATTAACCAACATAATATCAAACCCTGAACTATACGGTGAAGACGAGAAACAGCAGGAGCCTGGCAAATTTTTCAAAAGATAATAGAGCTTAGAAACTGGAAATTCATGTTTCTTAATAAAAAGATCAAAAAGTAAATTGCAGCTTGTAATGCTTTGAAGAAACGTATTATAGATATGTAGTTGATATATAAATGTACCGAAAACTCCATTCGCGTCACCACAATCGCTACAACCACAAATACTACCACCACCAAAGAAAAAACATACTAATAACAGATTGTTAGAATGATTTTTTTCCCTGTTATTCACAGGCGGAGGAGGAGGCGGCGGCGGAGCAGGTACCCATATTTCCTTTATTCGTACACAATTGCAAGCATTTGCATTTTATTTATTGTCGAATGCAACCAATTTATCAAATCCAGATTCAAATATGAAAGAAAGAAAACAGCTTTATATATAGGAAAATGTTAGGTTTAGATAGTTCCCCAATCCTTTACAGCTTTTAMAATCTTTTAAAACTTTTTTTCCTGAACTCAACCCTCTCTGATGAAATTAGAAYCAAACCCACAAATTTAAACCGTGGTTGCTCTATTCGATTTCTAAAATTTGCACACACTTTTTAGGTTGTAAGGACGTATCCAAAAATTGCGCTGCCAATGCCTTTCAATGTGGATTTAATCCAATAGTAAAAAGAAGATGCCCCAAAACCTGCAAACTTTGTAAGTAGTTAATCTAATTTTGGATGTTTTCAATATAAATGATAAAAACGGATAAAGTGGTGAATAATATTTTTGGTGTAACACAATGTTGGGTTATAAGCCATTTGTACATATCTTTCAGGTTGAGCAAATCACCTTCACGAAGGAACCTGTGATCTTGGTTACATATAATTATTAAAGTGTAATGATATAATAATAAAGCATGTCACATTAAACTTTGTAGTTTACTAATTCTTTTATCATCATTATCTGATTAAAAATTTGGAAAACATTTCAAACGAAAAAAATGTGTTGAAATCAAAAACATYTAATGAATTACGGGTATGACCGAATACTGATTAGCTTCTGAAATTAAAAGTACGCGGCAATTAAGACAAAACCAAGAGCGCGTTTTAACAATAATGTATATATTTAGGCACTGCCTAAAAGCGGAGCTCCCAATAGCAGAGGCAGCCCAACTGAACCATGAAAATGAAATCCATCGGGCAAAAAATCTTCAATTTTTCAATCTTCAATCTCCATCGAGATGAAGACAATGTCCCCCATAAGGGAGAGCATGAAATGAAAAAATGAAACGGAAATGCACTACATCGTTTTCTTTGCACGAGTCTTTGTTTTCGACCTTAGTACTCTCCCACTTAGGAATTCTGTCACATGTACACAACCCACCACCGTCCACCCCAGGGGCTGATTTTGTTCTTGAAAACTATGATTCTTCGACAAAGTTTTCCATGGCCGACATTTTTACGCTTTGAATTCCTTTTAATTTTACTTGAAAAACGAAAGAAAAGTACAGAAATCCAATAAAATGTTAAGTTTAGTGAAATTTACCGTGGATGTCTTTCATCAAAATCCAGATTTTGAAGATTTCCTATCTTTTTACGTACAAATGAACACGGCATATAAAGACAGAATAGAAAACTGCTTAAAAGAAAAGGTGAGCAAAACATACGCTTATTTTTACTTCTTTTACATGACAATGTTTGGTTATCCATGAAGAGTTTAGGTTTTTGTGAAAACCGTATTTTTACCGCAAAAAAATAGAAAAAAACTGAACAATGAAAATCTCTGAAACTTTCTGACCTTGAAGACTACCATAGTATGTTTCAGATAGTGAACTCCGTTTCTCTGGGTCTGGTCGGATTACGCCAAAAAAGGATTTCAAAAATAATATCATGACGTCACTGTGTCTTCAGGGCGTGTCTAATGGTCACGAAAAACACACGATTTAAACTTCCATCTATCCCTGTTCTAAAGACGGAGGTGGAGTATGGCTTGAGTGTGATAGGTGGTTAGCCTTAGCGGGACTTACAATACACCTATCCCGAATTCGCTTGACTGACCACGAGACAATGGCTTGAAGTCGAGATTGAACTTGATTCTTTTATTCATCAAGCTCAACCTCGACTTGAAACCATTGTTTCGTGCCCAGCCAGGCGAATTCGGGATATAGTAGATGTACATGTATATCCCAAAATAGCGCATCAACAGCCCAGGCACCCCAACATTAGTTAAGTTACAATGGTTATCCATTGAACAAAGAATTATGTTCAAAGTGCTGTTGCTAGTATATAAAGGGTTGGATGGGTAAGTTCCTAGTTATATATCCGATCTCCTACATTTTCGCACATGCACGCGTTCCCTTCGCTCTAGCAATAAAGGACTGTTAGAAGTCCGTAAGTCTAGGCTTAAGACGTATAGACATCGTCGTTTTTCAGTCGCCCCGCCCTGATTATGGAATACCATACCACTTTCTATTAGGCAGTCGCCCAATATTAATATTTTAAGAAAGAGTTAAAAACTAATTTTTACATACTATTCATTAGAACTTGGACCATTTGTTGAACCGAATTTTTCCGTTATCCCCTTGTCTCTCTATTTTCACCCATAGCAGCCATAAAACGAGTACCCGCGGAATGTACCCCGGGTCGGCAATTGCCTAATTAAGCGCGAAAATCTGTCGTTCCAAGACTTTTCAAAGCATCATGCAGTAGATAGAAAGGAATGCRTTACTGACTATGGCTGGTTATGAGTGGGAAAATATTTATTATATATCTATTCAAGTATGTTTAAATATAAATTATAATTTWTTTTTTTTTCAAAAACCGAATTGGGTAATTATAAATTTATAAATTTCGAGTCACCCATCCAAATACCAATTCCCTCAAACGTCCTTGACTCAAAGTCTTGGAAGCCCAAGTTTTTTCCACTGAGCCACGATTTCAGGAAATTAGCACAACAATAGCCATGGCAACAAAGAACCAGATAGACTAGATTATTTTCCACTTAAAATGTGCCAGTGGGTGGCAGAGTGCAAGGGATTAGCTGTAGATATTGTCTGGGGGCCGGCTAGTCTCTCCTCTGATGCTTCGGCTAGAACACTATCCTGCGTAATCCGCACACCCAAGGGCAGAGAGCCTTTATCGCCGTCATGTCCGAAGTCCATACGACGACCCAGCGGATGTCTCGGGGTATGGCATGAAGGCACTATTTTTTCTTCTTCTGTATTTTGGAATTAATTATCTAACAGTAAAGTTCGTAGACGCGGGGTCGATTCTCACCGTATTAAAAGGATTTTTTTCCTCTAGGCTTAAATCTTTTTTTAAATATTTCTTTATCATTTTCTTATGAGCGACTTTCATTAATTATTCAAGAAAATGAGGATTCTTATGTTTTTCTTTATAAAGGATATCTACCTTTTTTGCTAGCATTCAGCAATAACAGTTAAATGATTTTCATCTGTCGAGCTGTCCTTTCCTGGTTTAAAAAACTGCGGGCAGTTGACGGAATAGAGCTTTTACTAAACTTGGATTCTCAGTCTTATAATCTATACACTGAATTAATTTTGTCAGTGTTGGGTTGTGTACACTTGTCAAAATAAAGTTGTAGTGCACTTTGATGGGAAATTTTTTACTGGTCTGGTTAATTATGGGGGACATTATCTTTATCTGGAATAATAATAAGTTAAAGAATATTTCCCGATTTTAAGTTTTATATAGTAATTGTGTCTAAGTGTTAGGTAGTGCTTAAATTTATGTTAGGCTTTAATAACAAACTCCATATCATCTCTGCTCTTCGGTAATCGGTAATCTCCTTGTTGCTTTAAATCTTGTAAAAAATTTATTTTCGAGAAAATAGCACATATTTCTTCTTTTCAACATGGCCCCCATGATGGGATTGCTTATTTTATTAGATCAGGAAATCATGCTTTGTGCGAGAGTCAGATCGCCTAGCAGTTTTCATATACGTGTATAATTTATTGATACTCCCATGAGGATATTTGTATTTTCATACAGAATAGGGCCTCTAGCAGCATTCGATGTCGACATTATCATCATTTAGTAAATTAATTCCCTTCAACAATATCCCTTAACGTAAGATATTAAATATAGATATTAAGATATTAAATACCGTTTTTTCTACAATTAGTATCAGAGTCAACATACTCCGATGAATATATATTTTAGAGAGATATTAAACAATGTATATTATTCGTTGCAGTACAGTACATAGTTTCGACTGCTGATTAGAATACATCCTTTGGTATAATAGATATAAAAAGTAGTTCATCCACTTCATTGCTGTTGAGTCAAAATTAAAGATTCGTTAACTCATTTCCATGCATTTTGAAATTATATTGGAATTCTCTTTCGGCTTACTTTTCCTCATCTTTTCCTTATCTGTAGTCGAAGTCCTTGCTTAGAGTAGCCCTTTGTTATATCGTCATGAGAATAAGTAGATTGCGCGCCCCACTGGGTTGTTTCAATTTCCTTCCGCTTCTTCTGAATATATAGCAGTATTAAAATTCTGAAAAGTAAATCAACAATAGCGATCACATTGCAATGAAATATTTAACAAAATGAGAAAATAAAAGAGAATTCGAAACCGCAATTACACAGTTTTCAAAAATAATTAACAATCAGGTCGCAATCCCATTTTATGCTTTTCTCTTCAGAAATAAAATTTCATTTCATTTCTTTTTAATTGTTCTCTGTCCTTTTCTTTAATAATTTTTGTTTTGTTGCTCACGGTAAGCACAGTCAGGCAAACATAAAGCAGGTGMTTCGGCGAAACTGGGAGGTATTTTACTTTATCTTGGATTTATTTCAAAAGAACCGCGTTGCTAAAGATCAGAAAAGGCTTACCCATTACTGACACGAACTAATAAAATCAATCTAGCAACTCAAACCTATGAATAGTTATAGATAAATGTATGATTGTATACACAAGATACGCATCAACCGCTGCGCTTGTTTCTATTTAAGTCCTGCTGGTCCATAGGATATTACGTTTCACAACAGCAAATCATATCTCACTTTAGCCACAGCAAACCACGAAGAAAACTGCTGTGTCAGTTTTGTTTGCTGTAAAACTCGTTAACCAAAAATTGGATTTGCTCTTTCAGCTTGACAACTTATAGCTGCGTTATAAACGATGATATAACGATACGTAAAGCACTGAATGTCAAAATGTTTTTTTGATTTAAGTAGCTGATTGGCAAAATGTAATTACTACTATTACTCACTTTCTAAACAAACGAGGCGACAAGATCTGAGAAAAAGCGACTCAAAGATATAACGGAAATGAGTGAAAATGGCAGATGATGACAATGAGGGTAAAGATTTGCCGAGACTTAAGTCAGACAAGCGGAATTGAGTTTTGAAACTATCAATTCTTGACAATGAAACATGAATAACTTGACAAAGACAGCAACGCGACGATAAGAAAAGCAAGACAAGAAGAAGAAAATAAGGAAGCATCTATCTAATACTGCTAAGAAGTTGGACCTATTGACGGCTAAGAATTTCTGTCGATTGGGACGTAGTCTCGGAAGTGAATAGAACTTGAAATTTGAGCAAGAACAATTAATGCTTGAACTTTCCCAAAAATCACTTTTTTCGTATCTCAGACCCTTTTTGCAGAGGGTATAAGAGGTTGCGTGAACCGCGGACATTACATCCATCATATCCAAGGAAAGGCCAATTTGTTAATGTCTTAACATGATCAAACTATCTCTATTTTTAACTTGCCTCGTTCTTTCATCAAAATTTTTGAATGGAAGTGCCAAACCATCGGTAGATATGAATAGAACCGTAACTGTTGGAGTAATATACGGAAATCAGCCCATGCAATGGACTCGACAGCAGATGATACGAACAACACTAAACCGACTCAAGTTGAAATCGTCTCTACTCAAAGATACCGAATTTCTTTTCCACTACGTCAACGGGTCGAATTTAAGGTCAATAAACCACTGCCTTAAGCTTATGTGCGAAGAGTTACTTCCACGAGACGTTCAGGCTATTATTATTACACTTGACGATTTTGAAAGTCAACTCCTGAGTCAGTGGGCCAGTTTGATTGGCATTGCCGTTCTTGGAACTTCGAGAAATAGTGATCTTGAGAACAAGGTTAGTTGATGTTTTACCTAAAGGTAGCTTTATAGGTTCAAATATCCCAAGGATTTTTTCCAATGCCTGGGATGAATTTCCTCCATTTAATATGTCGGTATTTTATTTTTCTAATTGCTGGAAAGGAAGTTTTTTGATTATAATTTTCTTTACTCCAGACATGCTAAATGTAAATGGCCTACTTATCATTGTTCTATTATCTGCTTCCTCGAAACAAATCATTTTATGCAGATTTTCATTCCTCTTGTCGTTCTTTCGGTTGATTTTTCCAAGAAATAGTTGGGATCCTTCTTGACTAAGCAAATTTTGCATGGAGTATCTTCGGCAATTATACAGTTATTGAATTAGAGTTTTGTTTTTTTGTTTTTTTT